TCTTTCTTTCTTTCTTTCTTTCTTCCTTTCTTTCTCTTTCTCTTTCTCTCTCTGTGTGAGTCTGTAAGGACCAGTGGTGGGTTTCAAAATTTTTTGGAACCTCTTCTGTAGGTGTGGCCTGCTTTCCGGGTCCACTGGTGGAACCTCTTCTAACCGGTTTGGTAGATTTGACGAACCGGTTCTACCGAATAGGAGCGAACTGGTAGGAACCCACCTCTGGGCCTATCCAACAAAATGCAATTGTGGAGAAAAGTAAGGTCTTATTCTTAGGCAGGAAAAACCAAATTAAATAGTATAAAATAGATGGTACCTGTCTTAACAATAGTGATTGTGAGAGGGATCTTGGTGTCCTAGTGGACAATCACGTTTGAGCCAGCAGCGTGCTGCAGCTACCAAAAAAACAATGTAGTCTTAGGGTTGCATCAACAGAGGGATAATATTAAGATCACATTAAGTGATAGTACCACTTTATACTGCACTAGTAACACGACACTTGGAATACTGTGTCCAGTTCTGGTCACTAGGATACAAAAAGGATGCTGAGAAGAGCAACAAAGAAGAGCAACAAAGGGGTTTGAAGGCTAAACTGTACAATGAACAGTTACAGGAATTATGTATGCCTAGTTTAATAAGAGAAAGACACGGGATGACATGATAGCAGTCTTCCAATACCTAAGGGACTGTCACAGAGAAGAAGGGTCTACTTATTTTCCAAAGAACCCCAGGGCAGGACAAGAAGTAACTGGTGGAAAATTATTAAAGATAGATCCAATCTGGAATTAAGGAGACACATCCTGACAGTGAGAACAATAAACAGTAGAATGGCTTCCCTCCAGAAGTTATGGGTGCTCCTTCACCGGAGGTTTTCAAAAAGAGGTTGGCAATCATTTGGCATAGGGTCTCCTGCTTGAGCAGGGAGTTGGACTAGAAGTCATCCAAGATCCTTTTCAACCCTGTTATTCTATGTTTTACATATGGTCATATAAACCTTGTAAGAAGTCTGTAATACACTCATTGGTGAGACAACTGGCAACAAATAACAGGCAAAACTCAGTTCTTTTTCCCAATTTAAGATTACCTCTATAGTCCAGGACTAGTGTTATTTCAAAAGAGTTCTAAACTCATGTATAGAGGGATCTCTCAATTGGGTCAGGACAAATGCTCTCTAGTAACCCAAGGATAATCTGTACGGTAGCCTCTGGAGATGTTCCTTTTAGCCACAGATTTAATTAAGCCAACAAACCTGTTGTAGCCCTTAGGGACTGCTTTGATCCATCTGATATTAGCATCAGTGTGCTTTGTATAAGTATTCTAATTTGCTTTCTGGAAATTCCAATGAAATTTAGGAATGGACCTAATTACTGGGATCTGGAGTCCTATTCTGTAGATTATAGGCCTATGTTGACTGTACAGGAAATTGTACAAAACCTGTCTCTGGATTTGAGATTTTGATTTTACTACTACAGAGTAGTAGTAAAAGCAAGGGTCTGGGGATTAACCCTTTTGCCAACAAGCAGAATGAAATGTGCCTCTATCTTTACCATCGTATATAAGAGTAAGACTGTTTATTTCCATCCAATGGAATAATCTACTCCCATTCTCATTGCTTTGCTTTTGACTGATATAATCTGAATTTATGGGCATCATAGAAATGCATTTGCTTCCTGTTGGGTTGATAAGACTGATGAATCAAACAAATAATAGACATGTAGATGTACAATCCCTGCTGTGAGTGATTTCTCACTAGTGATTCTGAGTTGAATGCAGCCCTTGCTGTAACAAGAGAAAGCATTGCTTGAATAATAATGCTTTGCCCTGACTTCTTTGTCTTCTTCTGCGTTTTGCTGCTGGGCAATGTTCTGTGGTACAAAAAGAACAAGATAAGGGAGCTTAATTAAGGCCCGAAGATAAGACAATATAAGAAAGTGTTAAAATGGGATTGCCAGGGCTTTCACATGATACTGTCAATAATTAATGCAGACAAATCTGTGGGAATTTTTTTTTTACCTTCCTCCCCATCCCTTACTGGTACTGACATTGGAAAACGAAGCATCATTTTATTAGATGATGGCAGAAGAAAGAAAAAAGGTAGAAAGTAGCAGTACTAGACTGATCTATTCCTGCTCCCCCATTCTGAAATATAAAAGAGCAGGTGCAATAGCAAAAAATATGCCCAAATTTGCCCTAACAGCTGAGCACTAATCTCTGCATCAGTTATCAAGTTTGTAAATGGTCCTTGCCGATATAACTTTACTGCAAGATTTTAAGAGCAGTGATTAGTAGATTCCTCTGGCTTTATTTCCCTTCCCATTCAGGTCATTTGCTGGTCATCAGTCACTGTCCTTAAAGGATAATGAAGGGTGCTTGGGCAACTGGCAGGGACAGAGGCTTCAGCTATCTTTCAGATAGGCTGAGTGATAAATTGCCATGGGAATATACTTGATGTTGGTAACTGTGTCTTTCTGGCCTTTCCTGAACATGCAACCACAAACATTCTGCAAGACTGGTAGATCTGTGTTTAAAAAGGCCCCAGCTGACTGGGTGGTGTGTGGAGAAAAGGTGCAGTGGTAAGGAGCTCAAAAAGTGCATCAAGAAAACATCCTTCCACTTAATCCAGCGCTGCCGTTCACCTGGTAGCCAGGTTATTTTAAGACTTTGTTTTGGCCTTCATTTCACCCAGACTACAAATGGAGTGGGAAGCAGTTTTGTCACATTCACCTTAGCTCCTAAATATTATACACTTTTTAAAATTAATGCATTTAACATTTCTGAATCTTATATGTATCGTCCCAGCAAGCAAGTGTGGAATAATTCCATTAAATATTTACCAACGGATATTTCCCAATTCAATCTGTTGCATAAGATTATCTTTGTCATTTAAAATTTTGTCAGTTATAATATGTATTTCAGAAATAGGTTGTAAGTCTTGCAAATCTGGGATATGTTCTTTAGCTAGGGATTCATGCTTGGACCTCTACTGAATTTGAACTCACATTAATTTTCAGTCAAGATTTCTTTAACATGTTTTCATTTAGATATAGTGGGGACTACAAGTCCTAGAATTTCTTGCCAGCTTGGAGAATGAAATCATGCAAAAGTGTTTTCAGGTCAATACTGCTATACCACCTCTGCCCCAGTCTATCTCATACAGTTGTTAGTAATGATATTATGTTGTTACCTTCTGCCATTCTGTTTCACAGGGAATGTCTTACTTGCATTCAAGCAAAACAGAGGTCCATGGGCGCCTGAAATCCACAAATTGTGTTGTTGATAAACGCATGGTTGTGAAAATCACTGATTTTGGCTGCAATTCTATTCTGCTCTCTAAAAAAGGTACTTAAGGGATATGGAAAAAAAACATTTACTCTCTTTTAAAAAAGCCCATGGCTTGGGAATGGGAACATAGGAAATGCTTCATACTGAATCAAATCATTGGTCCATCTAATTCACTAATACTGACACAAACTGGCAGTTAATTTGCAGAAAGGGCTTTTTCCAGCCTTGTGCAGAGATGCCAAAGCTTGTATATACTAGGACATATATACAAAGAATATATTTGGCCAAGAAATCATGGCCCTTCATTACCACACCTTATAACAGTGAAGGCTAAACTTTTTGTCATTGTGTGCTGAAAGCGCATGCAACAGCCGCCCTGTGCATGTGCCTTGCTCCCCCTCGCCCATTTTTGGCTTCCAGGTTGGTGCAGGAGGCTTTCCAGGCCCAAAATGGGGCATGGGGGGAATCATGCGGCACACGGGAACTCTGTACACCCCCACACCCCATTTTGGGCCTGGAAAGCCTCCTGCACCAACCTGGAAGCCAAAATAGGGTGCAGGGGTTCTGAGTGAGGCCCCAAAATGCAATCAAAGCTCCCCCCATGCATACGCCCTACCTCAAGGCACATGCACAGCAGAGACCTAAAGACCAGATGGCCAGCAGGAAGCATGCACACATGCGTGGTGGAGCTGGGCTGGGGCAATGGCTGGCATACCTGCCAAGAGGACTCTGTGTGCCACCTGTGGCACGCGTGCCTTAGGTTTGCCATCCTGGCCTTATACAGTAGGACCAAACATATTTTGTAGTACGTAATGCACTACTTTTACCTACTTTTGGGGTTTTTTTCTGGCACAGAGGACAGCATGATGACTATTATATTGCTAGGAATGCTGGCCTTTGTAGTCAATCAGATCTACATAATATAATAATGATGCAGTTGATGCCACTAAGACAGTAATGTGTTTCTTTAATGATAATATGTGATTAAATCAGGTTTTACCACCCCTCTTTTTAAAACTCTGAGACAGCAAAGCAAAATATTTAGTGAAACATCACACACACCCATCTTTCTTTTAATCGCATCCAGTGGTGGGTTGTAGGCGGTATGCCCTGGTACGGGCGTACCGGAGCCTGCCTGGAACAATGGGTACCGTTCCAGTACGGTGCTCTGGAGGGCCCACCCACCCTCCTTACCTGTACTTTGAAGCCTTTGGCACTTCCGCACATGCGCATGGCACGTACAGTGCTGCGTGACGCTCCGCCGAACAGCTGGAGCATCGCGGAGACTTGCGGAAGTGTCGCTGGCAGGTACGACGCATGCATGAGCCATGCACCTGTATGCGCACGCTGCACGCATTTATGTGGGCAACGCCAGGCCCGTTCCAACCGTACCGGTTGGAACGGGATCCGGAAAGCACCACTGATCACATCCCATATGAACTCACTAATATAATAAGAGACTTGAGGGTCCATTTCTTAATTACATCCATGTATCCTTAAACTGATCTTGATAACCTTTTTCTGTTCCCATAATGTATTAGAAAAGTTATTCCTCTCAATGAGGAGGAAAGGGACTTTGCTATAAATTCGCTACAAATACTAGGTAGTTAGAATGCTTTTGTCTGACAGCCAGATCTCAAGTCTCCTCTCCCTCAGGGTTGGTTCAGTGCAGTTCCATGGAAAGTAGGCCAACTTTGTTTCTTAAACTATCGTAATCCCTTGAGAGATCTTTGACCCATTGTAGACCCATCTGAATGATATTTCAGCAAATAAAATGACTAAGCACAATACATTAAATATGGTCTTAACACCAACTAATGAGTATTAGCTCCTATTGGACACTGAAATTGAATTTGGCCTTCACATGCTCAATATGTAGAAAATCTGTAAGGATTCTTCTGTTTTCTTTGTTACCTTCTGGAAGGAGGCTTCGTGATATCTGAAGCAGAACATCCAGAGTCAACCCCAGGTTTCTTCCATACAGTATCAACCTTGTAATCTCTCAAGCTTCCTCTTTCTGATAGGTATTCAAGATGGACAGTGATTAATATTTATATGTATTTATATGCTAGGATGTAGGTATATACATATGTATGTATGTATATAGCATACCTATATGTGTGTTATGTATGTATACACTTTGGAGAGCAGGCAACAGAATTTCATTTTTAATGTGTGCCAGTTGCCCACAGGAAAAATGCCAATAATGGTTATCTTCTTCTGTTTGACAGGCTTTCATAATGGAACACTTTCAATGGGGAGTAGAAATTTTTAATCTTTTATAACCCATTTTAAAATTTTGTTAGGCACTTGAGTGCCCGTTTAAGCGGAAAGTTGGTGTAATCAAATAAATAAATCAAATTATTGAACAGATTAAATATATACAAATAAATAAGTAAATAAATAAATTCTTTGTACTTGACCCACTTTCGGGATCTAAGAACAGGTTTACTAGTTCTGACCAAAGACTCCTGTAGTTTAATTTTTAGGTCTCACAGTGGCTAACTAAATGTCTTGGACAAGCTATATGCAGCATCTAAGTACAACATCAGTACCTAACAACATAGACAAAATTTCCTAATGCTAGATCAATATCTCTGATATTGACTGTTGGGATGACTATCCACTGACATCTTTATATTCCACAAAAAAAATCTTTTTATTATGATAAAACAATCCATAGAATTAATGGGAGCTAAACCAATACGAGAATAGATTAAATTCTGAAATGCCTGTCTGTCCACTCATATCTACAAATATGATTTCCTTCTGTAAATCAGATCTCTGGACTGCTCCTGAACACCTCCGCTGTGGTGATGAATCGCAGAAAGGTGATGTGTATAGCTATGGAATTATAGCTCAAGAGATTATTCTGCGTAAAGAGACTTTCTACACTAACCATTGTCGGAATGCTAAAGGTAAACACGGCGTATAAAGAGGTGTGACTACATGTTTACACTTAAAAAAAACCCACCAGATTCCCAGCAATAGAAATAGAAAAAAGTATAACACATGCACAACACAAATAATACAGAGAGAATAAATGTTATAATAATTAACTGAAATGTAACAAAAAATAAAAAGAACTACAAAAAAATTCATAGTTCATTTAGTATTAATTAATTAGAATTAATTAAATTAATTCAATCTTAAATGATTAAATTGAGACCATGTAGAAATATATTGCTTTATTATCTCATTTTTAGCACATAAAAATATACCTGAAACTAGTTGTTAATATTGGGGAGATGTTTACCTCATTTGCATAAGATTATCTTCTTTGCCAGGCCCTATGCTAAGTCAAAACGTTTTGA